TTTGTATTAAATTTTATGTTATATTCACACAATTGTTTAAATATAGGGTGGCCATAAAGTTCATATGCACAATTTCACTGATATCTCTTTCTCTCAAAAAATACAAAGTGGCCGGGCCCTGTGGTTTGCACCTGTAATCCTAGCACTCTGAGAGGCCAGCCAAGGCAGGGTGGATCACCTGAGCTCACACATTCAAGCTAGAGTGAGACCCCATCTCTAAAAATAGCTGGGCAGGGGCGGCGCCTGTGGCTCAGTGAGTAGGGCGCCAGCCCTGCATACCAAAGGTGTTGGATTCAAACCCAGCACTGGCCAAACTGCAACAACAACTACAACAAAAATAGCTGGGCATTGTAGCGGGCACCTATAGTCCCAGCTGCTCTGGAGGCTGAGGCAAAAGAATCATTTGAACCCAAGAGTTTGAGGTTACTGTGAGCTATGAGTCCAGCACACTACCGAGGGTGACAAAACGGGACTCTGTTTCACACACACAAAAAACAAACAAAGTATTAGACATACTAAATTCATGTTACTTTTTGCTTCTAAGGAAGCAAGGAATGAATGGAAATACAGATAACTTCAACTATATTTGTAATGTGTTTTTTAAAAATAAATGAACAAGAATGGAAAAAAAGTATCCAACGTACTCAATACTAATATGAAACCAATATATAAACAACTACACATCTACACAAAAGAAAAGCAGAAGCATAGTCTAGCAAGGGGGAGGAAAAGGAGGGAGAGGGAAAGTGATTGTCAGGGTCTCACCTAATGTGCATGTGTAAGGTGCTCAGCATGCCCCTGGGTGAAGGACTCAAGCACAACTTGAACCTTACCTGAGAAATGAAAACAATATAACCTGAATATTTGTACGCTTGTATTAATCTGAAATAAAAATAAATGAACAATGAGCTGAAGCAAACATGAGTATTCATATTTGTTATTTTTAATAATTGCCGTGATCTTGAATGTTTGTGCTCCCCTCCCCAAATTCCCATGTTGAAATCCTAACCCCCAAGATTATGTTATCAAGACATGAGGCCTTTAGAAGGTGATTAGATCAAGAAGGTAGAGGCCTCAAGAATAAAATTAGTGAAAAGAGGCCCAAGGGAGCCAGTTTGCCCCTTCCACCATATGGGAACAGCCAAGTCACTGTCTATGAAGAAGCCCTCACCAAACACCAAATCTGCTGGCACCTTGACCTTAAAACTTCTCAGCCTCCAAAACTATGAGATATAAAGCTTCTTGTTTATAAGCCACCCAGCTTATGGTATTCTTCATATAGCAGCCTGAACAGACTGACAATAATGATTTCATGAATGCTTACTGTATTATTCGTTGTACTCTTATGTATTAATTTTTTAATTAAAAAGATAAGGTCCAAGCTAACAAAACAATGTGGTGAACTAAGGAGAGGACTTAGAGAATAGAAAGAAAGGGGGAAAATTCTGAAACAAAGTATTAGAGGTCTCAATAAGGCCTAAAATAGTTTTTAGAGAGCCACAGGGTGAAAGAATACCTACTGAGAGCAGAAATTCACAGCAGCTTTACCTTAATGGTGAGGAAAAGATTTTTTGTTTTATAAAATTGAATTAAAGCAGTTCTGAAAAATGAGTAGATCAAATAAATGGCCTTAGGAAGTAGAAATAATTAAAGAAAATAAAAATATAAAGTATTGTGCTGTGTGCTATGAAAAAGAAAATAGACGTGGTCTCTGCTCATAATCAACAAAATCAGATAGCATGTGAATAAGTGAAAAACAAGTTGTTTAGAGAACATATGGTATAGAAATTCAGTGGAGAAGAAGGAGAAAGAATATGAGTTGGTCCAGGATCACATAATTGGGTAAATGAAACCCGAGGCGACCCAGGAAGGTATAAGTTTGGATGGGAAGAATGAAGGTATAAGCCAAGAGTATGTAACAAAGTGTGGTGGCACAAATGAGTAAGGTGTGACCGGGGTAGTGACTGAAATCCAGCCCAGCTGGAGCAGAAACGAGAAAATACTGAGAAAGAGAGTTGGAGAAGTCAGCTAAGATTCTAAGGTAGAAGATTCTACATAATTTGTTTGAGATAAGAGACTGTAAAGGATTTTAAGCAAGGGAGGGAGTGTTATAAGAGTATTGTACAAAACTAATCTGGAAGCACACATGAAGAGAGTAGAGACAAGAGAAAAACCTATTCATTAAGGAATGAACTTCCATGATACTTGTTAATTTATGGAAGTTTTCACCTTTTTTTTTGAGACAGAGTCTCACTTTGTTGCCCTGGTTAGAGTGCCATGGCATCACAGCTCACTGCAACCTCAAACTCTCGGGCTTAAGCGATTCTCTTGCCTCAGTCTCCCAAGTAGCTGGGACTACAGGCGCCTGCCACAATGCCTGGCTATTTTTTGGTTGCAGTTGTTTAGTTGACCCAGGCCAGATTTGAACCCGCCACCCTCCGTGTATGTGGCTGGTGCTGTAAGCACTGTGCTACAGGCATTGAGCCATCACCTATTATTTTTAATAATACAATTTGAAAATAACATCATTACCTTCTAGCTTGAGATTTATCCCTCCACATTCTATAATTCCAATGAATTTGCCTTCTATCTGACCATTTTTATAAACAAAAATTGTTGGTAGACAATTATCATGGTAGTGTTGAATACAGCTATTCACGATGGCTTTAACAAATTTAGTTTCTGGAAACTTTCTTGCTAGAAGACTAAGATGCTGGTTAACCAACAAACACATTGGAATGCTAAAAAGAGAAATAGTACACACACAGTATCTTTATAAAATAGACTAGTCAGTCTCCATAACTAATAAAATAAGTGAAACATTTCCATGACAGAAATATACCATTTGATAGTTTTTAATATAAAATTATTATCAACTTCATCCTCTGTTGTTACCTTTAGCACTATAGTAGAGCTCGACGATAAACCCAGCAGTGATGGCAATCTGATGCCTAACTTAGGCAAAATCCAGTTAGCATCAGTTTAGTTCAAGCCAGTTTCCAATTCATAGGTCACAGGAAAAAACAAAAACAAAAAGCAGGCACTTCTAGGGAATCCTTGGTAGTTCTGAGTTGAGACAAAGTGATCTCAACTCTTGTCACCATCGTAAATTTATTTCCATATAACGAGATTACCACATCCAAAGTTTCTTACTGAAAAATTCCTTGATTTTTCTGACTCCAACAAATTTCATCTGCAGTTTTTGGCATCCCACTCCATGTCAGATCGTCCTCCCATTATCCAGAACTACTCCTTGGGCAGAATTTAAAATTGATTGGAAATACGACCAAAACCTCTACTCTTCTTGCTCTATGATTTTAACTTCCATTACACCCATTCTTCAGTTAATGCTTCGTCTCTCAGTCTATCCTTCACAGCTTTATTAAAGTGTCCCAAGGCTAATCCTTTCATCTCTGCTTTATTCCACACTCCTTCTATTTCCTATGGAACCTGTCTCTGTTGGGTATTTTGGAGCCCTCTTTTTTTTTTTTTATTTTTTTCATCTTTCCTCTCCAGAGAATCTCCATTTTACATAAACATATTCAAGTTACTAAATCTTACACGAACAAACATCCCTTACAACTCTGTCTCTCCTTCTTTTTGAGGTGCAGTGAGGGAGAGTCTCACTCTTTGCCCTGGGTAGAATGCCATGGTGTCCTAGCTTACAGCAACCGTAAACTCTTGGGCTCAGGCGATCCCCTGGCCCCAGCCTCACTGGTAGCTGGAACTACAGGCGCCTGCTACAACATCCAGCTGTTTTTAGTGGGGACAGGATCTCACTCTTGCTCAGGCTGATCTCCAACACCTCAGCTCAGGGGCTCTACTTGCCTTGGCTTCCTAGAGTGTTAGGGTTACAGGTGTAAGCCCCTTCTCCCAACCTCTGCCTTCTTCTAATAAGTACTTTCTCTCCTTCTAGTCACAGTTTTGCTCACCTTCCTTCTTAAACCATTTTCCTCTTTTGGCATCTGTGATAGCACTTTCTATTAATTTCCTTTTTATCTTTCTGACTTCCTTCTGTCTTTGCCTCAATGTAGAATATCCTTATGATTATATCCTAGACCCTTATCTCATTCTAGACACATTCACTGAGCAATCTTAACCATTCCAATATCAATTCCTGATGAATTTTATTTCCCCTGCCCCCCACCCCCCCAAATCTGATCTTTCTCCTATATTTTCTTAGGTTGGCACTCAGTAAAAAAATATCCTTTTTCTACAATGTCTAATCAGTAATCAAGTCATACCCGCTCTGCCTCCTTCTTTCGGCTCTGCCTCCTTGTTTCATTATCTTTCCTCTCCTCTCTGCCCATTGCCTTACTCTGCTCCTTTTTTATCTGAGCTACATCAGATTGCCCTAAATGTTGCCTGTTTCTAATCCTGGCTCCCCATATTCCTCCTTGACCCTGCTTACAAAGGGAGTTCAGCATGAAAATCTCACTGGGCAACCCCAGAACTCTGTCCTTCCCCCAAGCTTAAACCCCCTTGAATGGCTCCTCACTGCTTTCAGTATGAAGTCAGGGTCACTCCGGGTCTCCCTGGTCTGGGCCCTGCCTACCTCTCCAACACTGTTTTCTGTCTGTCACCATGTTGCACCACATGATTTAGCCACGTCTAATTACTTAAAGCACCACAAAGCACCACCATGTCCTTTACTTCTATATCAAGCTGCATCCTATAATGCCCTAACCCTAACCCTAACCCTCTAACCCTACATACCTGGAAACCTTTTCTTGTTTTGATGCCCAGACGCAGGAATGACTGACACTATGGAACTTTCTTCCTCCTAAAGTAGAACTTAACCACTCCTGTCTTCAGTGTCTTTACTCTGTATAGACTTCAACCAGAGAAACTAAGAGGCTTTATTATTATATTTAATTGACTCCCTTTACTGCATGGAAATGTACACAATGGCAGAGACAGTCTTGGCATCCACAACATCTGCAAAATTCTCAAAAATCCTCTTAATCCTAGGGTATATTATCTATCAATATATGGAGGAAGAAGCTAAGAAAAACAAATTAAAAGCATTGCTCATTTAATTGACATTTTAGAATATATGTATATCATTTCTTTGGACAGTTATAACCTGCTACAAGTCTGGATACTGCTTTATTTTAGTTGGTGGACCACCGAGAGTAATACTGGAGAAGCATTTACTGCCCAATTTAAGTACCAGTTTTCCACATGAAGCAATGACATAAACTGACTTTGCAAGTTTAAGCTTTCCTCATATAGGCAAAATGAATCCCCTAACATCTAATTTTTTCTTTATTGTCATGATGAAAACTCACTTAGTGGTATGACATATTTATGAGGCAGGTCAGTAGTGCAACCAGCAGAAGGCAGGTGGGCATTGGGGATGGCAGTGGAAAGGATGCAGTTAAGAGAATATGGCATAATAAAACAGAGAAAGGGGTTGCCTGAAGACAATTTGACAAGTGGTAGGGGATAAATTTAGTGTTGGGGGTCAGGGACCAGAATTTTTAACCACAGAAGACCTGTAAATTATAAGGCAGACCTCTGACATCAAGAAACAAGTTAAGGGCCTATTTATGATATTCAAGGTCCAAAATACACACCTTGGGCATAGGAATAATATAAAAGCCCCAAATTAGAATTTGCACAGGTGTAAGATTGAATAAAACCAGAGACAAGACTGACTTCAAGCTGAGCCACGAGGCTTACTGGCCCTAGTAAGTCAGATTCTTCTACTTAAGAATGAAAATTTGGATAAAAACTGGACCCAATCCTATAAATTTAATGGCAAAGAGCCATTAAAATTATAAAACTTAGGAGCCTAGTAATAAAACAAACTGTCACCCTCCTATAAAATGTATAGAAGTTAGCTAAAAACACAAATTTGTTTAACAGCTATGCTTCACTTTATTATTATTATTAATAAAAAGTTATGAGAGCTAGGTGCATGGCAGGTACCTGTAAACTCAGCACTGGGGAGGCTAAGGTAGAGAATGCTTGAGTCCAGGAGTTTGGGTCTAGCCTGGACAACTTAGTAAGACCTCATCTCTCTATATATACTTTTTAAGTTATGAGTAAATCTATTGTTAAAAACAGGCTCGGTGCCTGAAGCTCAGTGACTAGGGTACCAGCCACATACACCAGAGCTGGTGGGTTCGAATCCAGCCAGGGCCTGCCAAACAACAAGGACAACTACAACCAAAAAACAGCTGGGCATTGTGGCCGGCCCCTGTAGTCCCAGCTACTTGGAAGGCTGAGGCAAGAGAATTGCTTAAGCCCAAGAGTTTGAGGTTGCTGTGAGCTGACACCAGGGCACTCTACCCAGGGCGACAGCTTGAGACTCTGTCTCAAAAAAAATAAATAAAAATAAAATAAAAACAAAACTTTGCTAAAGAATATTTGCAACACAGATAATTATTTTCTATTATGTTTTATAAAATTTGGATTATTATAGGTTAATTTTCTTAAAATATGTTTTATACCAACACATGAATTTTTTAATGTCCCCAAAATTAGTAATTTATGTAACTGCTTTTTTTTTTCTTTTTGAGACAGAGTCTCACTATGTTACCCTTAGTAGAGTGCCATGGAGTGAGTCACATCTCACAGCAACCTCAAACTCGTGGGCTCAAGTGATTCTCTTGCCTTAGCCTCCCAAGTAGCTGGGACTATAGGCACCTGCTACAATGCCAGGCTATTTTTGGAGATGGGGTCTTTCTTGCTCTTGCTCAGGCTGGTCTGGAACTCCTGAGCTCAAGCAATCCACCCATCTCAGCCTTCCAAAGTGCTAGCATTACAGGTGTGAACCACCATGCCCAGCCTTACGTAACTATCTTATATTAGCCCCCCCCAAATCCTTCTAAAAAGGTTACAAATACTTAAAATAGTATGAAACCACATCTTTACTTACTATCAAAAAATATTAACAATTGAGGGAGGCTAAAACACATTAGCCTCTTTATGAATTTTTGAAAATCCTCTGTCAAAACTAGTAGCTTATTTAACCACTAAAGTAAATAATTTTATTCAGAAGTAACCTATTCTGTTGATCATAAGAGTCAGAAATGACACTCAGTGAACCACTTTAGGGTATAACATTTACCACAAACAGATCCCAGGTTTGTAAATGTTAACATTTTTAGTATAAATTGGTTTAAACAAGTAAGTGGTATAGGTAAAATGAGAATGTGATTCTTCTTAAACCTTTAAAACAACTTCAAAATTAATTTACCAAGAATTTTAGTTATAATAAAAGTAACTTTTATGGGGCATTTTATTTCATGGGGCATGTTGCCCTCTCAAAATTTGACTAAGGAACAGGTGAGCTGGTAAACAATAGGACTGTAATTTGCATAAATTATTCTGTATGGAATTTCCCTAAGGGCCTAAAGAGAGAAGCATTTTTTTATTCAGAGTCTGAGATAAAGGCAACTGGGCTGCTGTTTTGGTCTCTTTCCCTGGAAGGGTTTACAGACCTGAGGGAGAGGAGTTGCGACTTACAGTTGGAGGGGCTGTTTCAGTGAGAGGAACAGTTGGGGTAAAGGCTACTCTCTTCAATTACATTATCAGGCTTGTGAGGCCTAGGGACGTTGGATTTTACTTGGTACAACCAGGCATTTTAAAATTGCCTTGGAGGAATGGAGAGTGCAAGAGATACAGGTAATGTGCTGCATAACCTTGCTTGGCTCTTTGTTCAAAAATATATGTATTACTTATTAAAGATATTTTGGCATCATTTGGGGAAATTTGAAAAAAGATTAGGTATCAGATACTATTAGAAATTATTGTTAATTTTGTTAGGTGAGAAAATGGTACTGTGGTTACGTAGAAGAATGTTCTTGAAGACGTTCATATGCCATGCCAAACTGTGCCGCTCCGGCAAAAGGGTTATCCTAAGCTGAAGGCAATTGAGAAGAATTAGATGCAAGAAAAACTCTCTGCTCTCTTCCCCTCTACCAGGAAAAGCAGGGCATTGCTAATCACTGGAGACAATTCTAGACTCTTGGCACCCAGGGAAAGCTACTTAACAAACCTTGCTAAAACAGCTTTTATCTTCCATTAATTTCACCCATAGATTTTTCTTTCTACAATTTGCCACTCCTAGAAGCTGATAGTCCCTTTCCTTTTTCTTGTCACTTCTCTAAAAATGTACATTTCTTTAAGATGTTATATAAACCCAAGTTCTAATGCCACTTTGAATTATTCTCCTGTGTGTATGTTCTTTTTCTCCTGTTAATCTGTCTATGGTCAGTCCCATTTGCAGGACCCCAACCAATGCACCTAGGATGGGTAAGAATTTTTTTCCTCTCCAACAACTTATGTTTTTAAAAATGCATGCTGAAATACATAGGAATAAATTATCATGCTGTATGTAATTTACTTTGAAATAGTTCCACAAATGTAAATATATATATACACAGAAACAATGTTATAAATATAGCAAAAGGTTTATGATAAAATGTGTATGATAGGTATTCACAGTGTTCATTTTATCATTCTTTCTACTTGTCTGTATTTTTGAGATTTTCCATAATAAAAAATTTTAAACTAACAGAGTGATAATTTTTTAAGAACTGTGACTTATCTTTAAATTAGAAATGAAAACATTTAAAAATACCTAATTTAATTCCTGTAGCCAACAACAATAAAAAACTCTGTAGATGGATATATGTCTGATAGGTATGCAAATTTATTTTTCTTGCATACTCTTTGTTATACCTTCATAGAACCTTAAAACCAGAAGTATGTCTTTTATAACATTTGTATATTTACATTTTGATATGCTATGGTAATTACCTTGATCTGTATAGATGAATTATAACCCACACATCTTTTTCTGCATTTGTGACTTCATTCACATATTGATTTCCAGAAATTTCCCTTAATTCCCCAAATTTTTGTTTTTTTGTAAGAGATTTCCATTCCTGTAACCGCTTTTCTCTAAGTAAAAAATAAATTAAATTACATAAGAAAATTGTCATATTCTTAAAAGTTATTTTCATATGCTATAACAGTTTAGGGCAATGAGTATTATGCCTGTATATACTGAACACTTTAAATAGCACAATAGCCTTTATTGATCTTATAAAGCCAGTTTTTCTTTTTATAATGGGAATCTGTTTTTCCACAGATATTGAAAAGTATAAGAAGTTTGCTATTGACTTTTAAATTTATTTCTATTTAGAACTAGGTTTTAATCATAGAGAGTTTATTTAGACATTGGGCCAAAAATTCTCATATGTGGGTTAAATACTTTTTAAAGGAGAATGTCATAATAATATCATTTATTGAGTGTTTACTGTGTTGTCAAGCACTATTTTCATTGTATCACATTAACTAATTTAATCCTTGCAAAAGTGTTATCAAATAAGTACTATTATTATCCCCTTGATGTACTTGTAACTGTCATGCTAAACTGACCTTTAGTCCAACACCTTTGTAAATATTTGTGATTACTTGTTATACATTTATTAAAGGTAGAGAGGTAGGAGAGGAGTATGATTATGAGCCTGGACTAAACTGGTTTCAAATATTAGATCTAGTATTTATTAATAGCATGAACTTTGACAAGTTATTTAATTTCTCTAAATTCCAGTTTCCACAAGTATACACAGGAATATACTAGTAACGTTTCACATGGGATCACTGAATATTAAATAAGACCTGTAAATTTCTTAGCTTGGTGCCTGGCACAGTGAGCATTCCATAAATGTTACCTATTTATTCATCCGTAGAGAACCTTAAAACTTCCTTTAAAAAAAAACTGTCTCAAAATTTATATACTTTGATAATTTAGTTATTGAATGCCTGACTTGTGAAACAAATCCAAGTAGTTACTGACAAATCTGCAAGTTTCTTAATATTTAATGATTCTATACCTCTAAATTTGCTGGGGGCCACTTACTCCCCTTCTTTCATGGTATATAAATTATATTTTCTTGCTTTGTGTACTCTGTGATGCTCTGGAATCAGGCACCTTGATGATCCTGTGCAGACTCCCAGGACTGTCTAATTCCAAGAGATAGCAAACATTCACGAGAAAGCATGCTCTTCTAACACAAACCAACCAATCTACAGCCCATATGCTCAATCACTCTGGTATCAGACTAAACCAATATCTCCCTGCCCTCATCAACCCAGGGCCAAGTACCAGACAACTAGAGACAGCCTCTACAGCCCAGAGCCCACCACAATTACTCAAATTACCCAGTCCTAACTCTGCTTATTTGGCCTGGCCTTGCCTTTCCTGCGGAAACCACAATGAAGCCTTGTGCCTCAAGCTCTCCCCTTGCTCCTCTAAGTCCTGACCAACCCAGAAGCTTACAGTGTGGCCCTGTGTGGCAGGGTGTGCCCCCTTCCCTTGGGAACTGTAACACATGATCTTTCCAATGGCAATCATCTCCTGATACACCTGAATGGAGACAAAATTCTGCATATATTTAAAAACACTCTTGCCTTATTTCCTATGTTAGAAACATCTCCCTTTACATAACCAGTAATCCAAGCAAAATGAAGTCTAGAGGAGAAGGCCAGGGACAGTGACCTAAGGCCAGCACCCTCATACTTTTCAAAGAGAGGGTTTTCAATTTTCCCTCCACTGGCCAGATACTCTGAGACTGGAGTTACTCCAGAGGTCTTTGAGGAGCACCGCTCTGTTTGTACTATCACTGACTTCCCTCAGTTTGATCTCACTGGCTTTCAGAAATGCTAAAATGCTCTTGTTCCAATGACAGCCCCATACCCTACCTGATGGCACAACTATCAACTATTTCTCCTCTTCCTCCCCTCTTTCACCTCCTCCTTCTCGTTTTTCCTTTCTTTTTTTTTTTTTTTGAGACAGAGTCTCACTTGGTCACCCTTGGAAGAGTGTTGTGGCATCTTAGCTCATAGCAACCTCAAACTCTCAGGTTCAAGCAATCCTCTTGCCTCAGCCTCCCAAGTAGCTGGGACTACAGGCGCCCACCACAACGCCCGACTATTTTTTAGAGACGGTATCAAGCTGGTCTCGACCCTGTGACCTCAAGCAATCCACCTGCCTTAGCCTTCCAAGTGCTAGGATTACAGGCGTGAGCCACTGTACCCAGCCCTCATTTTTTGTATTTCAATGGAATTGGGCAGGGGAGAGGGTAAACACACCATCTTGGTCTGCCATTAGGAAATCACATACTGCTCAGTGGCCTGCATATTTTACCTAACAATCATATCAGTCACATAACAGAAAGCTCTCTAGCTATTTTAGGCAGAAAGGGGCTTAATCTAGGGAATTAAGTGCTTTACTAACCCAATGGTAAAACAGAACAGGTTCTAGGCTGGGCTACCAGGAATGACTCCTAGAACAACACACAAAACTGGTCTTCCAAGGCTTTCTCTACCGCAGTCCGGAAACTGGGGAGTCTGGAACTACAGTTCCACTGTGGGCCCTAGCATCAAACTATTCTGAGAACCACAAAGCACTGTAACAGCTGTTGTCTCTAGATACATATCTCCCCTAGCAATAATGCCAGGATGAGAAACCATTGTCAGAAAAATGACTCCAAAACCGTGATGCCAATTCTAGATTAGTGCCAGACAAATGGATGCTTTGTGGGCTACCACATGAAATTCGGAATTTGAATGTCTTGTGAATGTGTCCAACAATACCTAAATTACATTCCTCACCCACACAGCAATAAAGTCTGAGAAATGTAGTCTTAACTTTTTAGCTTTCATGGTGCTGGATCATACACCAAGAGGAAGGCCATGTATATCGGGGAGCCAATTCAGTTAGTCTGCCATAAAAATGCACTGCAGATACGTTTACGGCTACACAGATTTTTTTCATCCTTTTAACTTTAAGAGCTTCTGAGTTGGTTCACTTCTTTTCTTATAGCTTATCATCTATGCAATAGCAATTTGTCTCTTCTTTTATGAATATTACATTTTTCATTTATCCTGTCCTAAGCCAGTGGCTGGGACATAAAGTATGATGTTTAATGACAGAGATGACAACATACAACTCATCTTTTTCTTATAACTAATAGTAACTTTTAATGTTTGTTAAAATCTTTACCAAGTAAAAAAAAATTCTATTGCTGTGGCTTACCAATAGTTTTAAAAAAATACTTTCTTGGTATTTTGTTTTTGCTTTAAATGAGAAATTTGCTTTAAATAGGTACTATCAAGATAACTACAGAATTTCCTCTTCCTAAGAACAAGTGATATTCCAAAATCCTGTAGGCTCAGGTACAGAAGTGAAAATGGTGCCATAATTTGTGGCAGCTAGATTTGTGGTTTTTGTGTGTAATATATCAGTAAAGGGACTTCTACATATGACATCTCTCTTTACTCTCTGCAGCAGGGACTAGCTGAGAGTGGGTGGTCCTCAGGATGTTTCCTCCTCCAGGGAAGATATAATTGCTAGGAAGTCTGCATGTGCCAGCTTCCCTTGCAGTTAGACTGGGGTCATGGGAACCTGAGGAAAGTGATGTATCTATTAATATGGCTCATCCCTAAAATGTTCCCCATGCCCCATGCGATCTATTACATTGTCTCCCTGACACACACAGGATGAGATTAAGGATCCTAAGACATAATGTAAGAAAATGAAAAGAGCCCAGGTCCCTAGTCATTGCGGGGAGGAGAGCTGCTTAGGATAACTACAGGATATGCATCAAAAAGTTGTGCAACCATCACCACTAATTCAGAAACTATTTTTCTTTTTGAGACAGTCTCACTCAGTTGCCCTGGGTTAACTGCTGTGGTGTCACAGCTCACAGGGACCTCAATCTTTTGGGCTCAAGCAGTTCTCTTGCTTCAGCCTCCCGAGTAGCTGAGACTACAGGTGCCCACCACAATGCCTGGCTATTTTTCCAGAGACAGGGGTCTTGCTCTTGCTCAGGCTGGTCTCAAACTCCTGAGTTCAAGCAATCCATTCACCTTAGCCTCCCAGATTGTTAGGATTACTACAGGCATGAGCCATTGTGCCTGGCAAAAACATTTTCATCACTCTAAAAGAGACCCAGTATCTATTTGCAGTTACCCTATTCCCTCATCCCAGGCCCTGGTAACCAATAATTTTCTTTCTGTCTTTATGACTTTTGTGACTAGTTTCTTTCCCTTGACATGCTGTTTTCAAAGTCTATCCATGTTGCAGAACATATGGATATTTCATTTTGTTTTATGGCTGAATCATCATTGCATAAACATGCCACTTTTGGTTGTCCACTCAGGAGTGAATGGGCATTCAGGTTGATCCACTTTTGAGCTACTGTGAATGAGTACATTGCTCTGAACATTCCTATACATATTTTGTGTTTTCAGTTCTCTTGGGTATACAGCTAGGAGTGAAATTGCTGGATCATATGATAACTCTATGTTTAACATTTTTCAAAGTGGCTGCATCATTTTATATTCCTACTAGCAATTCACAAGGATTCTAATTTCTCTAATCCTTGCCAAGAATTTTGTAATTGTCCATTATCATCATTATTATTTTTTCCTTAGAGACAGAGTCTCATTTTATTGCCCTCAGTAGAGTGCCATGGCATCACACAACTCACAGCAACCTCCAACTCCTGGGCTTAGGCGATTCTCTTGCTTCAGCCTCTCTAGTAGCTGGAACTACAGGTGCTTGCCACAACGCCTGGCTCTTTTTTGTTGCAGTTTGGCTGGGGCTGGGTTTGAACCCACCACCCTCAGTATATGGGGCCAGCACCCTACCCACTGAGCAACAGGTGCCACCCAATTGCCATTACTTTTATTATTACATACCTGGTGGGTGTGAAGTGGTCTCTCATTGTGGGGTCCTCCCTGCCTGTAGTAGTAAATGTCAGAATGGAAGGATACCCATTTGGGTGTCCAGAAAGTTGGAGAACTGGTTAGTGTGGGAGAAATTCCCTTACTCTTGCTGCTGATTTTGTGTCAGAAGTAGTTTGAATAAATAACTAAAAAGTACAATAGCTGAGCATGGCATGGTGGCCCATGCCTGTAATCCTATCATTTGGGGAGGCCAATGAAGGGGGATTGCTTGAGGCCAAGAGTTCAAGACCAGCCTGGCGAACAGATTGAGCCCCAGTCTCTATAAAAAATTTGACTGGGCACAGTGGCTCATGCCTGTACTCCTAGCACTGTGGAAGGCTTAGGTGAGTGGATTACTTGAGCTCAAGAGTTCAAAACCAGTTGAGCAAGAGCAAGACCCTGTCTATCAAAAATAGAGAAACCAGCTGGGCGTTGCAACAGATGTCTGTAGTCTCAGCTACTCAGGAGGCTGAAGCAGGAGGATTACTTAAGCTCAGGACTTTGATGTTGTTCAAGCGATCCGCTCGCCTCAGCCTCCAGAGTAGCAGGGACTACAAGCACCCACCACAATGCCCAGCTAGTTTTAGAGATGGGGTCTTGCTCTTGCTCAGGCTGGTGAGATGTACCTATAGTCCCAACTACTTGGAAGACTGGGTCAAGAGGATTGGTTGAGCCCAAGAGTTTGAGATTGCAGTGAGCTATGATGGTATTACTGCACTCCCAGCACAACAAACCCTATCTCAAAAAAAAAAAAAAATGGTAGACTTAATCTGCTAATATTTTAAAAAGATTTTTGGGTCTACATTCATGAGGAAGATTTGTCTATAGTGCTCTGGTTTTTCCAATGTCTGTCTGGTTTTAGTATCAGGATAATGCTGGCATTGTAAAAGAAGTTAGGAAATGTTTTATACTTTGTTCTTATTTCTAAAAATATTTGTCTATGAATGGTAGTAAATTTTTCCTTAAATAATAGAAATCCTTGATTAACATCATGCTAGAAGTAAAATCATGACCATCTCTTTATTGGCTTTTTATTGATATTTTCTGCTTTACTCATATATAACTTGATGACATTCCACTGTACATTATTGTATAATTTTCTATTTAAGGTGGGTGCAGTGGTTGTGTATCTGTAATTCTAGCTACCGAGGCAGTGAGGAGGGAGGATCTTTTGAACCCAGAAGTTCCAGGCCAGCATGGGCAACATAGCGGAATCCTTTCTCTTTATATAAAGAAAAGTTTTTTTAAGATCCTATTTAAGCAAAGGCAAAAAATTGAGAAAAAATGATGTAATTCCATCTTATATAAAATGAATTTTAAGATGTTACTTAAAAATTAGTTTTGTTATTTTAAAAATATATTCCATAGGACAAAACTCTTAGTTTTATCCTTACACTTCTACATTCAAAAATTCATAAGCAACTAGAATGAATTACTATACCTATATACTTCAATAGCTCGCATATCTTCTTCATCAAATTCATCTTCGGCTTCCTTCAACTGTGCAAGAGTCATCTTTTCATAAGGTTTAACTAGGACAACATAAACCAACAAAATATCAGATTGTTTAAAAATTATTTTTATTCTACTGCCAATGTCTAGAAAAAACAATATCTTAGATAAATAGAGATCAAAACCGAAAGCAGCCATCCACAAGGTAGATTTACAGATTGTAGAGACTGTAACATTACAGTGTTATTACTCTCGCAAAGTTCACAGAACTGAGAAGCGACATCTAAACACAGGTTGAAAATCAGTTAGACCCTATAAGTTTAGATTTCCCCCAAGTTCCCAGAAATCTTAACAATTGGTCCCTACTATCCAGAATGATAAGAAGGGAAGGCACTGCATGATCACAAGGAAGAGGGGTACGGCGAGAAAAGAAAGCTCACCAGGGCATGTGGTGCTCATATTAACTAGTATGTGATTTTCAAATCTGAGTTGCCATTTTAAATCAGTATACTAATCCTGAAAGTATTGGCTTTATGTTACATTATTTCTTTTCTTTTCTTTTTTTTTTTTTAGAGACAGTCTCACTTTGTCACCCTCAGTAGAGTGTTGTGGTGTCACAGCTCACAGCAACCTCCAGTCTTAGGCTTAGGCAATTCTCCTGCCTCAGCCTCCCAAATAGTTGGGATTACAGGCACCTGCCACAACACCCGGCTATTTTTCTGTTGCAGTTTGGCCAGGGCCAGGTTTGAACCCGCCACCCTTGGCATATGGGGCCAGTGCCCTACTCACTGAGCCACAGGCGCCGAGCCCTTGTTACATTATTTCTAATGTTCTCACTCCCTCTGTGTTCACGAAATACAGCATCACTTCCTTAACTGTGTTCTCCCTTTCATCAACCCCACCAAATGGACCACTATACCCATCGCTTCTTTCTGTAAACGTAAAACCATTTCTTCAATTTCATCTTTTGGCTCTTCTTTTGGAGGAAGAATACCAAAATCTCTTAAAATTTCATTCCATTCTGTATCTTCATTGGGATCCTACACAAAAGAAAAAGAAAACCTATTAATATAGATTGTTCACTGTAATAAATATTTGTAAAACGTAATGATATGTAGCAGTTTTTTAAAAAAAATTTTCAGATTAATATGAGGATACAATTAGTTACAATGTTTTCAATTGTTAGGGAAAGTCCCTGTTGCAGTTGTGTCCTGCACCCAGGAGGTATGCCATGTATCCTTACATTGTGCCCTTAACTGAGAGCACACCTTCTCCCTCCTCCTCCGCGTGGTCCCTCCCCCTCCCTCCACCTTGAATTGATTGAATTTTTCTCTTATGTAGGTGTGTATTAGATCATCTACTGGCTTCAGATTAGTACTGAGTACACTGGATTATTGTTCCTCCCTTCTTATGATACTTTACTAAGAAGAATGTGTTTCATCTCCATTCAGGTTAATCCAAAAGATGCAAAATCTCCATCTTTTTTAAGGCTCAGTAGTAAATATATCCATGGTATACATATAGCACAACTTGTTGATCCATTTCTGGGTTGGTGGGCATTTAGGCTGTTTCCACATTTTGGTGATTGTAAATTGAGTTGTGATAAACAGTCTAGTGCAAATGTCCTAATGATAAGACGACTTTTTTCCTTCTGAGTAGATGCCTAGTAATGGGATTTTGGGATCAAATGGAAGGTCTATTTTGAGTTCTTTGAGGATTTTCCATACTTCTTTCCAAAGAGGCTTATATTAGTTTGCAGTCCCACCAAAAGTGTAAAAGTGTTCCCTTCTTTCTATATGCACACCCACATCTGCAACTTTGGAACTCTGTGATATGGGCCAGCTTCACTGAGGTCAGGGTGGTTTTGATTTGCATTTCTCTGAACATAGAGGGACGATGAACGTTTTTTTATATGTTTGTTAGCCATTCACCTGTCATTCACCTGTCACCTCAGCCATTCAGAAAAGGTTCTGTTCATGTCTCCTGCCAAGTGATAGATAAGATTGTTTGTTCTTTTTTTTTATTAATTTGAATATTCTATAAATCCTAGTTATCAACCCTTTGTCAGATTTGTAACATGCAAATATCTTTTCCCATTCTGAAGGTTGTCTATTTGTTTTAATTGTTGTGTCATTAGTTGTTGAGAAGCTTTTCAGCTTAAGTCACATTTGTTTATTTTGTCGTTGTTCGGATAAATTTCAGAGAATAAAACAAAGTGGCCTGCTTTTTCCTATGTCCTAAGACTACATGTTACTCTGAAAACATGAACAAAAACATCAATTTAGAACACATATAATATCAAATATTAGGAAAATAACACATAAGTCGTGGAAAATTCACTGATGACTACAATGGGCAAAATCAATTTGCATCTCACAAATACAATTTTTTTTTCTACATAGGCATTCAATCCTTCAGATGAACTTTTTTTGTTTGTTTAGACAAAGTCTCACTCTGTTGCCCTGGGTAGAGTGCTATGGTGTCATGCCTCATAGCAACCTTAAACTCTTGGGCTCAAGCAATCTTGCCTCAGCCCCTCAAGTGCCTGGGACTAGAGGCACCCACCACAGTTTACTTCTATTTTTAAAGACAGGGTTTTGCTATTGCTCAGGTTGGTCTCAAATTCCTGAGCTCAAGCCATCTGCCTGTCTCAGCCTCCCAGAGTGCCAGGATTATAGGCATAAGCCACTGTGCCTGCCCTCAGATGAACTTCATTTTCAGCTATATGGCTTCATGGGATTCTCACTCATGGAGAGAGTAGGAATCTTTTATTTTTTACTTACAATTCTGTGATTTTCTTTTCTTTTTTCTTTTTTTCTAACTGTAATTTTTTATTATTTTTAATTATTTTGGGCACAATAGTTGTATTTATTTATTTTTTACATTGATGCATTTATGGGGTTCAGGGTACTGCTTCCATATACGATGTGAAATGTTTACATTGAACTAAGTAACACATCCATCACAATTATACGCATTTCTTAATAGTTTTGAAATGTACCACTGCATCATGCACATTAGGTGAGGTTCCCCCCAAACATCCTCCCTCACACCATGTACCCCCTTCCCCTCCCTCTCTCTCCTTTTTCCTTCTACTTTCTGGACTATAGTTATGTTTTGCCAATCATATGAGTGTCGAGGTGGTTATATATTGATTTCATAGTAGTAATGAGTACACTGGATACTTTTTCCCCCACTCTTGAGATACATTACTAAGAAGAGTATGTTCCAGCTCCATCTAGGTAAACATAAAAGAGTGAAGTCTCCATCTTTTTTATGGCTGCATAGTATTCCATGGTGTACATATACCACAATTTGTTAATCCAGTCACGGGTCGATGGGCACTTGGGCTGTTTCCATGTCTTGGCTATTATGAATTGAGCTGCAATAAATATTCTGGTGCAAACGTCTTTGTTGTAATGTCTTTCCTGATTTTACTCAGGAAAAATGAGTAAATCTCAGATGGCTTAGAATTCAGGCTAAAATATCATCTTTAGCTGAAATAATAATAAAAAAGGATGTGGGGGAAGTGGATTCCTAGTAGGAATATTTGGTGATTATGGTCTCTTTCCAGAGTCGGGGGTCAGCCAGCTATAAGTCTCAGAGATGGCATCAAAAGTGGCCTTGGCAAAGCTGCACAGGGTGGCAGTGCAGCCCCTGGCTGAGGCCTACCAGTCATTGATACCTGCTATCAGCAGCAGCTTTCAGATACAGAGGCTGAGACAATGCCAGTTTCTCTAGGGGCAGGGATGAGAACCACATTGACTGTCACCTCGAAACAAATGGTGAGACTTGCCACTTTTGTTCCACCAAGAACTTCTCACAGAGACAATGGAGAGCCTGCCTGGGATGATGGCCCTCAGATGGCAGCGGCTACCTCCTTGGAGCACTTACTGCCTTGAACCCAGCCCGCTAGCCAGTGCCAGTCTGCTTTTGCACCAGCATAATCTTCAACACCTCTTCCTTGAGAGATGCCCCCAGGAAAAAAAATCAATGATATCAGACTCCTTGATGGACAGGAAGAAGAGATAGATCCTCTCCAGAGATTGGATCTTCATGTCTTCCACCAGGTGGCCTTGCTTGGTGACAGGCATCCACTCCTTGTCCTTGGCCTTGCCTCCCTGCGCTCTGCAGCCTCTGCTTTGACCAAATGCTGCAGCCATGGCCTCCCATTCCTTTGGCACCTCAGGGGCCTCCCACTCTACTGACATTTGGTGTTTCCTTGGAGAAGCAGCATCAGTTATTTCTTATTAAAACATTCTTTCTTAATATTTATGACACTGTTATGGATTTATTCACACTGCTCTGTCCTTCCTTACCTGACTAGGAGTGAGTTGTGATGGAACTTAACATAACAGCAAATGTTCTATATTTTGTTATTCCCTTCACTTTTAGAAGTTATCTATGCAATCTTATCTAACAAATAGGCACTACTATTTATTTGCTCTATTATGGCATTACCATCCCATAAATACTTCTGTCTCCCTCTGATTCCTGTTAGGTGGGCCATGCTAACCTTAAATCTGAAAAAAAAAATTCCTTTAGACTCTGTTACAGGTAGAAATAACTCAGATAAGGGAGACATGCCATGGCCTCGTTGCCTCCTCGCTCTGGTCCTGTTACAACAAGCCTCTGACAATCCCATAAGAGGAGTGAGCCCAGAGATTCTCAATAATGAGCTGCATGTCCTTGGCACCCTGATAAGAGAGACTTTGTAAAACCAGCTGCCCCCCAGCTGGCCACAAAAAGAACTGCCTCCTTCCATAATGCTGCGGACATCCCTTTTGATCTCAGCCTCCTTACTCTTATATGCTGGAAATAAACTTTTCTGCATATATGTTGGTCTGGCGTGATTTGATCTGGCACTCCTTTTACCTATCAATTATCTCACAGTAGACTCTTTTAGAACTCGTCATGTGTTTACAAACACATATAAGATGTGCTTTTTAGGAATTTATTATTAATGTTAAAGGACTGGCTTAAAAATCACGTATGTGATTTTGATGTATGTTCAAAATATCCTAATAAATTATACAGTATGCACAAATACCAAAACTAAATATATAAAACAAGAAAAATACCGGTGGTTTTGATTTGAGGGGAAAGAATGGAAAAAGGTTATTTCTATAAATCAGAAAGTGAGAATTTTACTCTGCTTTAAAAAAAAACAACAGCATAGGCTCTAATTAATAAGGAAGCTGAGGTTAGATAGAGTAGGAGCCTTCTAAGGAACAAATGAACCTCTAATAACTTTGAGATCAGGGAAGAAAAACTCCAGGGACAGCTGGTCTCCTGTGAGACTTATATGACTACTGGTGTTTATATTCTGACCATTTTTTTTTAAGGTAGCAGGGGAGGAAAATTAAACTGAAGTACCCATGAGATAATGTTGCTTGTCCATTGAGTCAAAAATACAGCAGGAGTAAGATTTCTAGGATTCAAGTGCAAACGCAATACTCAACAACTACGTTTCCTCCAGTGACAAACCGAAGTCTTGAATGTGGAAAAATGGCGTTCTCCTATAGTTAATTCGGATTTCTCTTAAAACCAGATGAGGACACAAAATTTAGCACTTGCCAAGAACAAACGTTGAAACCTAACTTGTGTGGCCGCCCTCGCCATTCGTGTCCCTCAGACTCAGGCCCCAGGAAACCCCGCCAGGTGCTCCAGTGTCACCAGGCGGCTGTGCCCCTCACCTGCATGACGCTCTGCTCATCCCCTCATGCACGAGCCCGCCCGTAGCTGGTGAGGTGCTCTGCAGCCTCCCCAGGCAGGAAAGATCCAGCTTCAGGCCCAGCGGTTTCCAACCGGCAGGAGGTGGAAACAAACGCTTCTTTTGCGGGTAGGCCACGTGCTGCTCTGCTGCCAGGCAACTGGGTGTGGGGGGGGGGGAGGGGCGTGACCTCGGGGTGGCCAGACGTGACCTAGGGGTGGGAGCAAGTCCCGACTGGCTAGGTCCTGCCGAGCAATGCCTTTCCTGTTCGCTGAGAGCCTGGTGACAGGAGTCAGAGGCTACAGGCAGACACAGAGAAAACAGACGGGAGAAGAAGGGTAGAGGAGGTCAGTCGGGAAGACTGGAGCACCCTTTGTGAGAGGTTTCGTGGACACTACAGAGTGCCGGCACGACCTGGGCAGCCATTGGTCACTGGTATGTGGGGGGAGGGGCTCCCCCTAGGGGATTGGGTGAAGAAAGCACAGGGGGTGGGGAGTCAAGGAATAGAGGGCCAATCAACAGAGGACAGTCTGTTAAGCTGTAAAGAAACCAATCAATGTAAGCCAGGTTGGTTTAAAAGACCCAGCAAGGTTTGAGCTGTCAAGGCTTAAAATCCCCCGAACAACCAATCTATGGCAGCAATCCGAGTGATCTCCTGTTCTATTGGAAGCGTTCATATCCTCTGTGAACTATCACTTTCTCTTACCTGTGGTCCCTGAATTCATTCTTTCATTCCAGAGACACAGAATCCAGAGAGAAGGAAATTCACTGGTGTTGCCCTTCTTCCCCTCCTTCCCTCTACCACCACCAGCAAATCGACCAGTTGTTCCCAGCCACTAGTCCTCCTCAAGTCTAGAGTCTTATCTCGATGGAGAAATAACATACTCTGGGGTGGAGAACCCTTCACAAAAGGAGTTCTTAACCTGAGACCATAGTCTATATTTGGGTGGATTTTAGGAGGACTCCTAACTCCCAGCCCCCAAATGTGCACAGAATTTTGTTGTATGTGTACATTTTTTCTGGACTTTCACTTTTGTTGGATTTTCAAATGGGACTCTACCTTCCCCACCTCCATCTTAAAAACCACTGCGTTAGGAGACAGAAGCTCTGGCTTTAGGTAGGAAAGTATAATTCAAATTAATTGTCCTCTGTTACCTTAAAAATATACAGTGGGTTCCTTGGTATTTAAGGACAGGGTATTTACTGGAAACTGCCAAGGGAAAAAACACGTGGTACCATACATATGGTTATACACCTGGTTCCAGACACGTACTCACTGGATTTGGAAAAGAAGGGGAAAAACTGTTTTTAATGACACAATTTAAAATGTGAGTTCAGCTTTGGGCCACCCCACCTCTAGAGCCCCAGTTATAGAAATCCTATACTTTGAGTAGCCCATATAGTCTATCATGTTTCTGTATGGAACATTAACTTTTTAAATGTAAATACATAAAAATATATCATGGTTTTTATAACTCTGCCTTGGTATTTCCTCTTGTCCCTTCCTCTCCTTCTTTCCCCCTATTTCTTCCTCTTCCTTCTTCTTCATTCTAGGAGCCCTAAAAATATAAATTACCCTTGTTTCTCTCGATTTCTGAGAAACCCTGGGAACTGCTGCTTAATTGATACTCAAATCCCCTTTCTTATTTTTACAATCTAAAATCTAAGCTAGTTGAATAAACACACACAGAACTGACCAGTGCTGCCTCATGTATTTGTGGCTCTAAAAGCTGTCTCTGCTCTCAAGTCTCTATCTTGTCAAGGCAAATTATTTTTCAAAAAATGTAAAGTTTTTCCTCTTCTGGTGCTTCTTGTAAGTTCTTCACTCAGGGTGACCAGAAATGAAATTTAGGAACTTTGTTAGTAAAAGGTGTAATTTCACCAGTAATCATTGGTCAACATTAGGGAAAACAAAGATTTGTTAGGTACTGTCCTCTAAAGAATATACTTAAAGAGGGGCGGAGCAAGATGTCAGCCAGTAACAGCTTCTTTGCAACTCTCAGCAGTGAGATGGGGAGAGAAGACTCCAGGGATCTCTGGCTTGTAGGCTATGCCCAGAAACATCCCTTTGGGACACAGGGAACCAGCAAGAGACTTCTGGACCCCAGGATGAGGACAAAAGCAGTGGAGAACTGGCAGGTGTTTGCGAACGGGCTGCTACAGCTGCTGTAAACACAACAGCAGCAAGACTGTGGGTTGTTTTGTTTGTTTGGACTTGGGCATCTGTTGAATTACCTTGGGAGAACTTTGGTGAGAGTGCAGGGGACTTTAAGCATTGTCCAGGGCATGGGACTGAGCCGCTGGGCCTCAACGGAGCTAACATTGTCCAGCTGTGGCCACTCACGTAGCCATTGTGAGAACTGTCCCTGCAGGCCCCGCCCTCAGGGTCACAGAGTGAAGCTAGGCTGGGAGACCCTGGGCAAGTGAGTTAATGACTGTGAGCAATGCCAAAGGCCTCTGGGGAAGACTGGAACTTCCAGTGTTTGGCCGTGAGAGGGCTGCCCTATGACTTTAGCCCTCAGGAGCATACAGTGTGGCTGTTTTGGCGTACCGAATAAGCAGGCAGCCACTTCAGAAGAGATCCCAGCGACAAGTGCTTTCCTGGGAAAGCTTTGGCTTAGCCAAGCTTAATGGTTTAAAGTGTCTTTTAAGTGCGCTGAGGAGAGATTCAGGCTCTCAACCCTGCTCATACCTTGCTGGGTATGAGGACAAAGTAGTCAGCAGAGGCCCCCAATCTCCATCTCATACATCTGTATCAGCATTGTAATCAGTATCTCATACCCCAGAAGATCACTTGTTGCCCAGGCAATATTCTGTAAGCTATATACATTCCTTTGTTTTTGGATTTTTTTTTTTTAACTCCCCCTGCCCTGGATTTTTCTTTCTTTTTTTTCTTTTTTTCCTTTTCTTCATTTTTCTAGTGTAAATATAATTTTCCATTGTTGCCTTCTTTAATAGTAACGTCATTTTTGCTAGTGTTTCTGCCCCTGTTATTTGGTTTTTCCACAGTTTTATCCTGTAAGGTTTTCTGTTTGTTAGTTTGGTTTGATTTATAGTATTTTTGTCTTTTCTCTCTATTTGGTGGAGGTAGGGTACCATGTCTGCTCAGGCTGGCAACTAGCTCCTGACCATAAAGGAACCAACCAATCCAGCACCCCCAGAGGTTGGGGGTTTTTAAGGTGTGGGTCAAAGTACCCTACTGTACACTTTTATTACTCCTGTCTCCCCCTTTCTGTGCCTCTCTTCTTTTTACTCACCCCTTCACCTTTCTCTTTTTCCTTTTTTAAAAATCATTTTTCCTTCTTGCTCATTACTCTTCTCATCCTTTTAGTCCTGTACCAAAAGGACTCATTGCAACCTTAGGCCAGAGACACGGTAATGTAAAGAGCAAGAGGAAGTGAAAGGAAAAGTAGGGCAAGGAAACAGATAAAAGAAAACACTCATGAGGAAGAATCAGCAGAAAAATCTCAGTAACATGAAAAACCAGACTAGAGCACCCCCACCCCCAAGGGACCATGAGATAGCTCATGCAGAGGATCCAGCCTATAAAGAAATGTTAGGAATGACAGAAAGGGAATTTAAAATACAGATGATGAAAACAATGAAGGAATTTGCTGAGAAAGTGGAAGATAACCAAAAGGAAATCCAAATCCAAATCCAAAGGAATCAAATAAGAGATGAATGGATAATATTTAAAGAATATTAAAAGGATATAGCAAAAAAAAAAAAAAAGGATATAGCAGAGCTGAAGGAATTGAAGCAGGCAATTAGGGAACTTAAAGATGCAACAGAAAGTATCAAGAACAAATTAGAACATGCAGAAGAATGAATCTCAGAGGTAGAGGACAAAGCTCTCAAGATAACTCAGATAGTTAAAGAGGCAGAAAAAAAGAGACAGAAAGCAGAATATTCACTGACAGAATTATGAGACTTTATGAAGCATTCAAACATATGAGTTATAGGTATTCCAGAAGGGGAAGAAGAATGCCCCAGGGGAATGGAAGCCATACTAGAGAATATGAAAATTTCCCAAATATCACCAAAGATTCTGACACTCTTTTCAGAGGGATATCGGACTCCAGGTCACCTCAACTCAAACAGAGCTTTTGCAAGCTCTATTTGTTCAAGACACATTGTGATAAACCTGTCCAAAGCCAAGACTAAAGAAAAGATTCTGCAAGCAGGCTCGGCACCTGTGGCTCAAGCGGCTAAGGCGCCAGCCACATACACCTAAGGTGGCG